GCTTAAACTCAGTGAATGTTTTTCTATTTCCTTCCACCTTTCTTTCAATTAGATAGTTCTGCCCATGCAAATATTGACATTAGCTGCTTCTGTTCAGCAAAGGCCCTCCTTCAGCATCCTGTGATTACTAGTGCCGATTCCCAAGATTCTTCCAAATTTTGCTACAATTTGAAAACAAGGCCAACCACATAAGATACTTTTTCAGAAACAGTTATTAGCCCTTTCCCAGTTACAAAACCCTAACTTACCATTTCCCTTTCTCACTCATGCTTTCAACTTAAAACTTCTCATAACGGATCCTCCTCTTTCAAAACAGGTCTCCTTCTCTTAAAGAAAGGTTTCTTTACATAATTTTTGCAAATGAAGTTTTTTATTTCACAATATTTGCTCTTCAGAAACATAAGTTGTTTAGTGTTACTTCATCATTTTCCTACAATCAATTGCAGTCACACTCAAATCTCAAAAGGCACCTTCTATGACATGCCCATCAACAAGCTAATTTGAGCCTAAGTGCTACTTCAACACATCAGAGCAACTCTTTATCACACCTTATCCATTTAACACCTTTCCTGAGTGATTACTATTTCTTACTTTCTTGAGGCATTTCTAGTTACTTTTTCCTTGAAAACTTTGGGCCTCAGGCAGAGATTTTCTAATATCCTCAAAACGTAGATGCCTCTCAGCTTGGACTTACAGCTGCTCTCTCATTCCAATGAAACAGTCTGTGGCACACCAGTTATCAGACATCATCTTTAGAACTGTTCCAGACACATGATTTCATTTTCCCCACTATCCTTTAAAAAGGTCGTCTTTCCCATGTAGGGGCTTGCAAACAGTCATTAAGAATGGCAATACTGGCTTCACAGTAAAACCAGAACAAATTTGTACAGGATACCTTCCAAACCTCCTTCCCTACCCCAAAATCACCAGGACTGTAAATTCATAAATTTTAATACCCTAGCCACTCTCCCTGTGACATACTCACACAGAAAATGTTCTATGGACCAATGCCTTTAGCAGCAGCTAAACCCCTCATCCCAGCGAAACGCAAGCACGAAGTGTCATGAAGGACATGATTTTGGCTGTGTAGTTGTTTGTTCCCCACCCCTTAAATTGTCCATGTGCTCAGTGGGAAGCTTCTCACCTTCCCTTCCTCAAAAAAAGTCACACAGAGATTCAGTTTGTTCTGGAATTAACAAAATCCAGGATGTCACTTTCAAAAGTATTGCGGCTGAAGCAAAACCAAACAAACCCAGCCGTTAGGACAAAGCAACCTAGAGAACTGCACTGTGGAGACCACAAACTTTCTTGCTTCTTGGTGCTGAGCTACTGGAATGACTAGCATGTTAGATATATGTCACAGATTACCAGAAGGGCT